ATTAAACCAAACAGTTAGGTTTATTAAGGTTGTGCATATCAAAGTTATTTTTTTCCCGATAAACCATACGACAGTCCTTGCCTGGCTTCTTGCATCATACACTTGTCAAGGTAATCGGCCGAGGACAATGAGTAAGAGCCGATCCGTATGCACTCTCACTCTCCAATCAGCCCACTAAGTGAGGTATAAATCTGGATCCCCCTCACTATTTCATCTTATTTTCTAATAACTATAAAAACTCTGGGTTTCATTCTCATCTCACATGGTCGTCGACATTGTTGTTCTTTGACATCTACGACCATTCCAAACATCGATAAGCTTCCTTTATCGTCCACTATCATTATCAATTCAGATTTTCTCAAAATCTTTTGAAAACTCGTAAAATTTCAATCCAAAGTCCGAAGGAAAATACTCCGATGATAAAAAAATGAAAGAATGTCAAATTTGAGCTACCAAATTGGATTTTTTTTTAAATTTTAATAACCAAATCAAGAATTGACTAAAAGAGTGCTGTAATCTATAACTTACCCTTAATATTTAGCTTTTGGGAGTAGGTTTTCCAAAGTTTAATCGTCGTATTATTTCTAGATTTGTACAGATTACTCATTACGCATGTTAATTCTTCTTTTGTGCTCGGCAGTCCATTGGCCCCCTTAATTGATTTCAATGAGTTTTTTTCTTTTCTTTATTTATAATAATTAGGGGAGAGAGAGCAAGGTACGATCTCTGAATGAGAATATCAATATTAATTAAGCAGTTGAATTATCACAAACATGTTGATATCACTTAATAAGGTTTCGGGTTCGAATAAAAAAAATTCATTGGAAGATTCATCCACCAAAACTAGGTGTGTGACACGGTTTGGTCTGATTTAATCAGAGTGAAACCTTGAAACCGGAAGTGAAAAAAAAAGACATATTAATATTATATGCATCTTCTAGTAGTTTAGAAAAGAATGCGAGTTTGAAACGTATTTGAAGTATAAAGAGGGTTAATAAAAAAAATAAAGAGGAGACTTTGAGAAGGAGTGGGCCTAAGTTCTATCTTAATGTTGTGCTGAATATAGAATAATACAAATTCCACATATTGTCTGTTATTGTAGGTCAATTCCTAGGCGACCCCATTTGGAGAAAGAAAATTGACCAAGTGTTTTTAATTAAGACTAGAATTTTTTAGAACTAACATTATTTTTTAAAATTCCATTCTTAAACCTTAGTTTGTTTAATGTAAAATAATGTATTTCTCATTTTAAAAATAGGGGGAAAAACAAAGTTTTAAATATTAAGAACATTAATCTAGTATCTATAAAATTAGTTTTTTTTTTAAGAAAATATTTGTTAGTGGTATGCTTACGTACTTTGTGTTACTTCATTTGTGACACTAATTTAATTAGAATGATTTCTATGTTTGTACGAACAAAGTAGTTTTCGTGGTAAGGAATTATTGTTATTCTTTGAGGATTCGGGTTCAAACACTATAGATGTCATTGGTCTGAGCCTTTAATGTCAAAAGGTTTAGAGTTATTTGGAACAAATATTATATTGTACTTACCCCAGATTAATTAAAAAACTAATTAGAAAAAATATTATTAGTATATCAATGATGATATTCTTCAGAATTATTTTGGTGAAATATTTTTTTAAAAATCTTTTATATGTATTTTTTAATAATATATTTTGTAATATATTTAATGATTTCACAAACTAATCTATTTAGTCCAAGTGGTGTAAACTTGTAAAGTGGTGACCTATAATTAGGGATGTCAATTTAACCCGAATTCAATGATTTTCGATATGATTCGATTTGATTGGGTCGATTTTTTTTAAATTCGGATTGGAGACAAGTCAGGTGAAGGGCGAAAAACTTTGATCCAACCTGACCTGAGGACAATAATGTAATATCTTTTAAAAAATTACTATTTTTAATTAAATCTTTATTTTATACAGGGTTGTGTAGAATTTATATTCTAAAAATTCGGATCAAGTCGGATTTATACTTTAAAAATATGAGTATGGTCAGAGTCGAATAAAGGATATATATTTTTTGGGTCGAGTTGGGTTATATGAAAGATATATAATTTTTAAATCGTGACGGATTCGGATGAAAGATATATATTTTTTGGGTCGAGTTGGGTTATATGAAAGATATATAATTTTTAAATCGTGACGGATTCGGATGAAAGATACATATTTTCAGATCGAGTTGGGTTAACCAAAAAACCTAACCTGTTGCCATCCTTACCTATATCCAATAGGTTAGGGGTTAAAATCTTGTGTATAAATCTTTACATTTGCATGGCCTTTCACTTGAGGCATTTACTTCCCATCCTAAAAAATTAAAAGTTCTCTCAACATTATAAATAGAAAATCAATAACCTATTATAAAAAATTTAAATAGATACTAGTTTATAATTATTTTACATTATTTAAAAATAAATAAATTACGTAATTTCTTATAGTTCAAAAAAATAAAATTCTTGTTTAAGAAAAAAAATATAAAAAAGAGAAACTAAAAAAAATAAACAAATGTTTTCATGACATGTTTATATTTTCCAATTCAATCAATAGCTATGTTCATGCAAATTATTTACTCAAATCTTAGGTTCAATAGTAAGTAAAAGCATAAAATAAATATTTAATTACATAATACTAACTAGCTTTCTTTATCAAGTAAAGATCCTATGATAAATTCTATTTATTTTTACACAATTTACTTAAAAAGAAAACGATAAAAACTATAAATTGTGAATAGGTATTAAAAATTGCCAAAATAAATAAAGATGAGTCTGTCACATTTAAAGAGTATCGTTGAGTACCACTAACGATGGTACCGTTGAGCACCATTAATTTAATTTATAAAAAAATTAAAATTCTAAAAGATTCAACTTATAATTATAAATAAGTGAAAAAATAAAAGGTAATTTTTTTAAAATAAAATACTAGTTACATTATTTTTTATAATCGTTTTTGGGTAAACTATACCATTGACCACCTAACTATTGTCCCTTTTCATTTTAACCACCATTTTTTAAATTTTGTCAATTAGGTCACTAAACTATTTAAATGTATTCAATCAAGCCACCCATCGTTAACAATTAACGTAAGTGCTGACGTGGCAGTCAATAAATTTGTATAATTATACATTTAGTCCTTATTACTTACACAATCTATCACATTGGTCATAATTTTAAATTAATTCAATATATTTAATCTTCCAAACATATGATGACACGTGTCATGACATTATTGGAGAGCTTTTTAATTTAAGTTATATTTAATTTAAATAGTTTTTCTTCAATCATATAGTGACACGTGGCACCATATGAAAGGAAAATAAATTACTACAAAGTCGATGTTGGAAAGAGTCAAACCTGCATCTCTAAAGTGAATAAAGCATCCCTCTACCACTAATCCAACACTAGTTTTTGGCTTAATATTTACAACATTTTTTATTTATAAAATAGTTAAATATTCAAACAAGGTCGATGAACCTGTACCGACCCAATTCAAATATATTGATATTTTAAAATAGTTAAAATAATATATTTATAATTATTTATTGTATTTTAAATCATTAAAATAATATATTTTACCTTAAACCCGATCTGATTCAAATATAAGGGTAAACTAATAATTTACACCAAGCTGAGTCGAGTCGATGATTTTTCACCTCAAACTCGATCTGATCTCGCCTCAAAATCAAAATTTAAAAAAAAGCCCTTATTGGATCGGGTCATGTCAAAATCCGTCGACTTCATATTAAATTGCTATCCATGGGTTGATTTTTTTTTATTTTGCGTTCAAGGCATTGCGAGACATGTTATATAATAGATAGCTTCAGGGACATTTAAGGTGAAAAATAATAGACCCAACCCAATTCGGTATAAATTATTAGTTGACATTTATATTTATATGTATATATACATATATATGGCAGGATCTGCTTATACTGTGTAAAACTAAATTTTTTTACACCTTTTTAGGATCGTTGGATGAGAGGAAATCAAATGTTGAGATTAACCGTTAAAAAATAGAAGATGCCCACTGGAAAAAAAAAACAAAGAGTTAATCTCATTTTTTTGATTATTCCTCCTCCAACTATCCTAAAAGAGTGTAAAACTAAAAGAGTTTTACACAATGAGAGTATACAATATGTATATTTATCGGGTTGGGTTTAAGGTAAAATATATTATTTAAACTATTTAAATATAATAAATAATTATAATATATAATTTAACTATTTTAAAATATAAAATATTCAAATCGGTTCGGGTATAAAAATATATTTTTGAGTTAGGATCGTATGGCAAAAAACCGACCCGTCCTACCCCATGTACATCCCTAGAAATAGGCCAAGGTTTGAGTCATTTTAGTGTTACTTTTAGCCCTTCTGTTAAATGTTTATAGCAAGTGGCTTGATTGAATGCATTTAAATAGTTTGGTGACCTAATTGACAAAATTTCAAAAATGATGTTCAAAACTAAAAGGGCAATAGTTAGATGGTCATTGGTAATTTACCCAAAAAGATTATGAAAAATAATATAATTAATATTTATTTTAAATAATTTACTTTTAATTTTTTAACTAATTTATAATTATATTTTGAGTTCTTTAGAATTTTAAATTTTTATAAATTAAATTAATGATGCTCAGCTCATCGTTAGTGGTATTCAACGATGTTGGTCGAGTGTTGTATAAATTTCTAATAAATTATTAGTTGATAAAGGAAAAAAATCTGTAAAATTTGGTTTAGATTATTTTAAAGAATTTATATATAAAGAAAATAAATTAAATAAAAGAGAGAGAGAATATTTATTTATTTAGGGTTTTCAGCATTTTCAGCTGCCTTCATCCTTTTGTTCACACTTCTGTCTTAAGCAGATGTTTTATTTGTAACTATTTGCCTCTAGTTTTCCCTTCATAGTCTTCTTCTCCGTGCTGATTCCTTTGGCTTTCTTTGAGAAAAACTATATATATAATCTTTGTTTTCGGTTTTTCACGATAGAAAATAACAAGGGAATCGTCAAAGGATTTAAAAGGTGGATCGACGACGAGGGAAGAGGCTACTGCCGTCCGATCATGAATCGGAGCGAAAAGAGGGAGCTGCTGCTGCTGCTGCAGATCATCAGTTCTACACGGATAGGTCTCCACAAGAAACCAACGCCATGGTTCAGGCCCTACCTCGAGTTATTGCAGACGATAACAATCCATTGCTTGTTCAATTTCATCATCATAATACTCAACACCAAGAAACTCAACCTCAAGGTACAACTATTTTTGGGTTGTTTTTCTTCTTACCATTCGAATCCATCTCTCTCGGATTCTTTCGATTAATTTGACTACAATCGAATAAGAGTCATAAACCCTAATTGATTGCATCTTTCTTTGAAAAAAAATGACTAATGATTTCAGAAGGATTTTCGTTTGGTTGCGAGCTAAAATCGTATATCATCATCTGATAAACCGATTATATGAATGATTGTAATTCGTTGTGGCTAAATTATAGGATCTTTATGTTACATATTAACTTTTTTTTTTATATGAGGTAAGTACAAAACGACATTTGTTTAAAGAAAATTCAATCGTATATCATCATCTGATAAACCGATTATAGGAATGATTGTAATTCGTTGTGGCTAAATTATAGGATCTTTATGTTATATATTAACTTTTTTTTATATGAGGTAAGTACAAAACGACATTTGTTTAAAGAAAATTCTTAGATCAGTCATTTGATATTGAACACTCGCATTCATGGTGCTTGAATCCGGTATCTCAAAGAATAACAATAATTTTTTTACCACTAAGATCGCTTGGTTAGTGCATTAATTAATGGTTAACGATATCCCATAGTTTACAATGACTTGTCATTGGCCTCTTCCGGATATTCCTTTTTCTTCCTTTGCGGCCATGGTGGGCGGAAGATGTCAGATTATGTAGTATTTATTCATCTTACATGTAAATGCGTGAATGTGAATTTATTCTTTGATCCCATTTGACATTCATGGAATCACAAATGCATAAAAACAAAAAAAAAATTACTCATAAAAGTTGATTGATCTGTTAATTTAGCTTTTAAAAAGATTATATTATTGTGTTTGAACTTTGAAGGAAAGATGAGGAGGATGCAATATAGAGGTGTTCGGCAACGGCCATGGGGCAAATGGGCGGCTGAAATAAGAGATCCGACCAAAGCTGCTCGCGTTTGGCTCGGAACCTTCGCAACAGCTGAAGCGGCCGCCGTGGCTTACGATGAAGCAGCTCTTAGGTTTAGAGGAAGCAAAGCAAAGCTTAACTTCCCTGAAAGAGTTCATCGAACACCCGTATCCGGTTGTCTCACAACTAGCCATGAAGCCGAACTTGAGGCCGTGGCGCCACCGCTAGCATTACTTCCTTCTCCATCGCCACTTTCTCAACCCAGTATGTCCTATCAGTACGCACTGATACAGGCAGACGTTCTTGGAGGTGGAAGCAATGGTCTAAACTGTTGTTTACAAGGTGGTGGCTATGGAGCAGTCGCCACGGCTTTCACTTCACACTCCACAACTCTGTCTTCGTCTTCCTCAACGTTAACTTCTTCATCCGCCTACGGTGGTTCTTCTCCAACTCCGAGTTCGGATCCTCCTAAGCATACGAGAGAGTATTATGATTATTAATATTCAAGGGAATAGTATAATCGATTGCAGGCTTGCTTCGTAGTTTTGGAAACAAATTACACTCTAATATTTGATGTACTAATTATATATAAATTTATACGTTTGTAATAAAAAAATGAAGACATATCATTTAAAGGTTCTAAAAATATATTTATCTAAATTCATCTTAAATGATGTCTTATTGTTTAATTCACTATTAGTACATTATATAAGATTATCATATATTTTAGATTTTTTTCTATATGTTTTTGCCCCATAAATTCAAGTTCGTCCCTTGAAATTTTATAAATTCAAATCCGCACCTTAACTTAAAATTTTAACATCGTCCTTGTATGTGTATATATATATATATATGAATGAATGGAGAGAAAGAAGATATATGTGTATGAATGAATGGGAAAAAATAGATTTGAACAATGGCATGAAGACGAGTTTCGAAGTCTATAGCTAACAAACTAATATTTTGAGGTAGAAAATGTTTTGAAAAAAATATTATTGTAAAATAACTTCTCTATTTATAGGAGAAACTAGAGATATAAAATGGGCAAAGGGTGATGACAATTTCTAAAAACCCAGCAATAAATAAAACATGTCTTTTAAAAAGAATTAAGTAAAAACGAGTAATTTTTTTATGTGTTCAAAAATATTTATATTTATATAAAATTTAACTTTAATACCTTAATAAAAGAAAATTTTGAAAATCATATATAAAGAATTAGAAAATATTTATACAACTAAAGTGGGAAATTATAATTTTGCATTATATAAAGGGTTGAGTGGGACTTATATAGGTGGAGGAATTAGGGTGATATTGCATGGAATATTAAATAATGATTGACAATAATAAATAGGGTAAATTAAATGTTTAGTATTTAAACTATCAATTTCGGTCATAATACCTACATTTTCAAAAAAATTCAAAATCATACGTAAAGTTTAGTTTTTATTTCATTTTAATACCTCGTTCAAAATTTATGTTAAGTTTTGAAAATATTGAAAATTTAGGTACTGAATGAATCAAAACAGATAGTTTATGTACTAAAACACGTTAAGATTTTAACGGCGGAGTAATAAAATGAAACAAAAACTATACATTATGTATGATTTAAAAAAAGAAGAAGGAAGTTTTGGTACTAAAATAGATAAAAAATGATAGTTTAGATATTAAATGTGTAGTTTACCCTAATAAATAAATGAGAAAGAAAGTGTCATTTTTTTTAAATAGGGTACTTTGTATTAAGAATAACAAAGTAAACCACCTTAAGGACCTTATTAAAAAATCTCCCTAATCTTAAATGGAGGAAAAAGAGTGTACCTTAGGGTGGTGAAGAACAAATACACACAACACTTTTAGATGATTCAGATCGTAACCCCGCCCAAACACACAAAGCAACATACACAAATAGCAAAAGCAATGGTATGAAACTAAGGGCACTACTAAAGACCACGTCAAACCCCACTGTGCTAAAATTGAAGCAAACCATTAATTAAAGATTTGTTTTTTATTTAACAAAAGTGGGAGCACCACTTAAAGCTCCCACGCAACTAGCACCACGACAATTCCACCCATGCTCCACTTACTCACCACGCAACGCCCTGCTCCACATTAACACCCATACCATGCTGACCCTAATAAAAAAAAACCTTGAAACTCAAAAAAGAATATACAATCACCTGACAACCTCCTTATTTCCACCAAAAGAAGCAACATACGTGTGCCTGCATGTCAGATCACCATCTCCGACAACCTCATTGATTCCCAAATCAAGCTTACCCAAGAGCTCATAGAGCTCCAAACTTTGAATCACCACCTATCGAAGCTGAGAAAACACCGCCCGGTGACTCACCCACACAAAACGTTACCACCGCTTCATTTTCTAACTTCGTCCGATCAACATAGTTTGCTCTCGCAGAAAAACCATGACTAATTGAAAAACTGCTCCAGCTCCTCTAAAAATTCACGACAAAAACCTCAAGACCAAAGCCTTAATCCTCCACAAGGACCATAAACCCCTGACAGTTACTTACCAACCTCAAGCAAATCTGGAGACGCTAAATCCTTGAGAACATCTCTATCAGAATCAACATCATTTATGGATCCAAACCCAATGCCAACACGACTCTTCTTTTATGAAAAAGCACACTCAGAACCTCACCATAGGTTAACAGGTCTGCCAGATAAAACAACTCCCAAATTACATAAGCTGCCAAAAGTCTCGAGCATGACATAAACAAAAACCAGAGAACTAATACAAATGAAACTTACCCAGCTACCCCAATACATCTCTTGCAAAAACGCAAGACACTAAAATCACAACATACCCAAACCAGGGAAACAACAACACAAACTTTGCCTCCCCATTTCAATGCCCAACAACAAGAGCAGGAAGCACACATCACCTAGCTCCCCAAAGCATTACACGAACGCAGAATCAGACTTAGGACAACATTTATAAACCATGACATAAACCTCAAAACCAAAACCTAAAATCTCCCACAACCCCTGACAGTCACTCACCTAACCCAAACAATTATGCAGTCGCTGAAACCATGAGAACAACACTATTAGAATCAATCTCTTTAGCAAATCTAAACCTCAAACCTACTCAACTCCACTTGTATGGAAAGAAACACACACAAAGCCTTGCCAAAGCAACCCACAATCTGCCATAAACCTTACCAATGAAACAGATTGGTAGGTTATCCACAAACACATAAGCAATACCGAATGAAGACCTGAAACACTCATCCTCATACTGTACTTATCAAACAAGCGAAAGACAGGTTCACTTTGGCTTTAACACAAACATCATGCGAGCATATATAACTATCGCAATCTGACTCCATAAACAGATTAGAAACCCACGTAGTATTTCAAAAACTTTGAAACTAATGACAAGAGTAACCCAAAGACTCAAGCAAAAAACAACAATCAAGTAGGAATAAGAATAGAATCATAGCTGGAAGAGAGAGAATCAATCTCACTAAGCAAGAAGAGAACATCCAAACAAACGAGAAGAAAAAATGGGGACGAAAGCCAACGAACCCTATATCTAAATACACCAAAATAAGGCCGACCAAACCCTTATTTAAAGAACATGAAAAAAGTTCAACATCACTGTGTTGGACTTTTGAGATCTTGGGAGAAACGGTCGAAGGATAGTAAAAAGTAGTAAGAACGGTGGTGGAGGCGGCTACCACCTCGCGAAGGAGGCGGCCACCGCCTCGCCAGAGAAAAACTCGCTATTAGGTGTGCAAGTTGAAAGAAGCTGAAAAGAGAGTTCTATCAAGAATGTTTCTATTGATAAAAAAAACATCAGAAAGTGTCAAAATATGAAATGGATATCGGAAGTGTCGGAGTGGGAAGGATGACCGCAGAAATCGGCGGCGCCTGAAATCAACACAGTGGGCTTTGTTATTGGTCTGACGAACTTTCCAGACGAATCCCGCCAAGAAGCTTTGACCCCCCCTCTCTTAATTACCATTTAAGCATCAACTAATTAAATTTTCACATTAAATAAATTTCGGTAATTACAAAAATAGACCCAAAGTGTTTTCAACTTCTCAAAAAACCCATAATAACTTGATTAATTAATTATTGTTAACCAATAAAAATCCTGAAATTCGCCTCATGGACTTGAGATCTAGATCATACTGTCTACAGTAAAAATATAGTAAGCTAATTAAGTGACTAATTAGCGGCAGAGGAGCAGAGCTCCCTCACAGTCACGGACTAACCGTCCCACATAGCTGTCGTGCCGGGTAACGGAGTCAAACTTTGCGGCAACCGCCACGTATTTCAATTTCACCTTTCTGTTTTTGTTGTTACTCGTTGACTTCCATTGGCAAAAAAAATACACTCTGACTCGGTCGCCTTCATTTCTTCCTCTTTTCCGTAAACAAAGGTGATATTTTTTAAGTAATTAATGAATTTATTTTAATTTTTAAGGTGAACTAAATCTTTAGTACTTAAACTATCAATTTTGATATGTTTTTACCTAAATTTTCAATTTTTTTCAAAACAATGCCTAACGTTTTTTTTATTTCATTTTAGTACCAATAATTAAAAACTTAACGAATGGGCTGACGGGACATAGCTTCGGTGGAGGGACGAGCAATTCGAATGGTGGACCACGAGATAATGATAAGTTGACCAACATAGTCCAGTTTCAGGTCCATCGGACGATTGATGATGAAGATTGGAGGATAAAGAAGTTGAATAGCCAATCGTCGATTTGGAGAGATTGATGCATTTTTCAACGAAACAGATGTAGGAATCACGTTCAGGGGATCGAAAAGGTGTGAGCTGAAAAGTTTGGGCTTCATTGACCAACAGATACGACAATCGGTGATTGTGGACGTTGCGGTCGATGAGTATGTTATTTTAAATTTTTAATAGCAGATACTAAAATGAAACAAAAATTAAATATTAAGTATGATTTAAAAATAATAATTAATTAATTAATAAAATAAATTAAAACTGATAATTTAAATACTAAAATTATAAGCTACCCTAATTTTTATTATAATTTATGAGTTTGGGATATGGGTGTATTCAAATAGTTTCTAGAAACAATTGAAAGTCAACAAAATTATTGGGAAACCCACGTCCTTGTTAAGTGACGCCAACGCGTCTATGAAGTATGTCGACATTTATTACTTTGGGCATAAATATCTATTATGAATAAAACGAAATCTTACCACTTTCGACGAGTATAGATAGTCATTAATCTAATTTATGAAAAATTAAACTTTAAATAATTTAATGTATAATTATAAATTAGTTAGAAATTTAAAGATAAATTATTTAAAATAAAGGTTAAACTATATCAATTACCATCTAATTATTGTCCATTTTCATTTTGACCAATATTTTTGAAATTTTGTCAATTAAGCCATCCAACTATTTAAATGCATTTAATTAAGCTACTTGTCGTTAATATTTAACAGAGAAGTTGACGTATTAATTAAAATATTTTGTATAATTACACATCTGGTCACTGTTACTTATATATTCTATCAATTTGGTCCTAATTTTAATAAATTAAAATAAACTTAA